GTAAGATTGTTGGAAAAAGTTTGTATGCGATCGTGTACTCGCAACAGGGTTAGATCTACGGTTAAGTTCTCCATCACAAATAATAGTGAAATGGTTTGATAGATCTACGGTTAAGTTCTCCATCACAAGTAATAGTGAAATGGTTCGATAGGCCTGCAGCTCCATGAAAATAAGTAAAGCCTCAATTCATAACTCATCAAAATTGTAATTCAAGCATTGGACATATTTTACATAGATCATCTCGACTTGAATATTACAGTTGTGAAGAAAAATTAAGATTTTAAGTTTAAAAAATAATGTATATTGTAATAAATTATATAGACCTTTCATTTTTTTTCTAAAAATAAGTATTTATATACCCTAAAATATGCATATTTTTAAATATCAAATTTTATTCTCGGTATTAGAAATTATTTTTAAAATTATTATGAAAATTTCTGTTGTCAAAAGTGATTTTGGAACGAGTATTTGGGGTCATGCTTTATTTTGTTTTCATAAAAGGCTAGGCTTTATAGAACTTAAACCAAAATAATATTATGATTACATGAAGATGTGACCAAAAAAAATAAGGAAATGGAATATCACATAAAAGTTGGTTAATTCAATTACCTAGGGAAACGAGCAAATATTGAACTTAAATAAATTTATTAAATATCCAAATAAAAAAAAATAAGGAAAAAAAGAGAGACCATGATGATGGTTATGGTCGTCATGAGGCCTTAACGGCCTCACAATTTCCTATTTAGAGAGAGAATTTTGGCATCTTTGAATTAGTTTTATCCTAAATCGAGGAAGATAACATTTCGAAGCAACATGCAGGGAAATTTTTATTTCAAAACTGTCTCTCGTTTTGAGGATTTCATCTTTGATGAAATGATTCCATCCTCGTACCATATTTAAATTTTTTCTCTTTTTTTCTAGTAGGGTTGCGCTCCAAGCTTTAGAGGTGGTGCCCAAGCAATCTCTCATATTGGCATGTGAACATGGCAAAACCCCAATAGAGTGGTATGAGGTCCCTATCATTGGACTGCTATTTTTTTCAAAAAATAAAAATTAAAGTGCGATATGAGAATGTGGACCTCATACAGCCCTAGAATTGAGCTCTGCTCAATTCAAAAAGCAGTCCAAGATTCCCATCCTCGAACTGCTGTTTTTTTTTAAAAAAATAATAAATAAAGCGTAATCCGAGGTTGGGGACCTCGGATTCATATTTTTCTCAAAAAATGAGAAAAAATGAATGGTCTAAATATGGGGACCTTAGACCACTCAAGACTGAGGCCTACTCAGCCCAAAGGTCAGTCGAGCATTCTAATCTTGGATTGCCTTGGCACTGCCTTTCAAACGAAAACGCTAAAAAAAAAAATTTAAAAGGTTGTAAGAGGATGGCATTCTCGGATAAGGGGCAATTTTTTAAAAAATAAAAAATGAGGGTTGACCGACCTTCCACATAATTCTCCCCCATTTCATATTGGAAAAAGTTTATATTGAGCTAAGGCTCTAAACAACTAAATTAGAGCCCATCCAAAAAATTTCATTAGAAAATTTTGTTTTGATGTTCAAAAATCCTCAAATTGATCATCTCGACATTAAAATACATGGACATAATAAAAAAAAAAAAATTTCAAGTTTTGAAAATAGTGCATCTTATAACGCATTTTTTGACCACCAATTTTTAAGTTTTAATAGATTTGCTTAATCTACAGTATTTTCTAAACTTTAAATTTTATAATTAAAGATATTTGAAGGCTATCACAAAGACTTTCAACATTGAAACAATATTTTTCAATACTATTTGAACATGCGCTTAAATTTGATTGTTTAGAGCCTCGGCTCCATACAAACCGCACCAGTTCATATTTTATGTAAAGTTATCGGTATAATTTCCACGAATAATTGAATGATTCCGTCGTATAGGGAAGTACCTTCGTGCACATAGTTGGAGAAAATTCTTTTGAAATTCGTGCTTATTCAATGGAGCATCCTAATTTCACATTCCTTAATAATTTCGGGTACTTTTGCAATTTACTCGAATTTTATTAACCTTAAAATATGTCGCCATCCCTAAGCGCGAAAGCATCCAAGAATGGGTTGTCCTGCGAGCGTTTGAAGTAGCAAGCAGCCAAAGTATAGTACTGCAGCTTAATATGCGGCAAAAATAAAAAGTCACGACTCACGACACAGTTTACACATGCGGGTTCACAATCGATGTAACGAATTCATCCAATGCTCTGAGAGCAGAACCACCAACGCTCTCCTCCTCAGCCATCCCTTTCCTGAGGACCTCTCTCATCTCACTGGTCTTTCTCCTCATCTCCGCCCCCTTCTCCCCTTTCACCACCTCCGCCACCACTCTCGCCACCTCTTCTCTCCCCACTCCCACCTCCTTCCCCCTCCCCACCTCCACACAAACCCCAACTTTTTCATCCCCCAACATGATAGAGTTGAAGAATTGCTCAGCCGCCATGGGCCATCCGATGAGAGGAACTCCTTGGCTTAGGCTCTCCAATACTGAGTTACACCCGCAGTGGCTCAGGAAAGCACCGGTTGCCTTGTGCGAAAGGATCACCAGTTGCGGCACCCACCCCTTGACGATCAGGCCGCGATCTTTCACCCCCTCCTCGAACCCCTCCGGAAGCCACTCTGATGTGAACTCAGCGGTCATGGGGAACTCCTAGGGCCGTCGGACCACCAAGATGAATCTTGCACCGCTCGCCTCCAGCCCCAGTGCCAGCTCCTTCAGTTGCCACCCCGAAACTGTGTTCCGCGACCCAAATGAAACGTACAGGGCCGAGCGAAGTGGCCGAGTATCGAGCCAGGCAATGCACCTTTCGGCTGAGATCCCCAGCTGCTTGCCCCCGCGCTCCCTCACCCCATTCTCAGAGAAGTGAGAGAGAGGCAAGAGGGGCCCAATTGGCCAGACTCTCCGCCCGGTCATGGCTTGCAGTAGCCTTAAACCATCCGGCTCGATCTCCGCCACTGTGTTGCATGGCATGCCGCCCTTTGACCGATGCATGGAGAGGGATATTTGCTTCTGTAGAAAGATCGACCATCTATCTTTGCCGTCCGCTGCTCTGACTTGGTTCACGAGCTGGGTCCGGTGAAGCGTGACGCCCGGCATACAGGGACCAGGAACTCGTCGGCGTCAGTCCACAAATGGAGCAGGTGCAACCATGTAGATGTCAACCCCAACGTGCCGAAGGCCCCGCAGGTAATGAATACAACGTGATGGGTGCCGAGCCTCTCCGCCACCAACACTGTCCAGCCACAGAAGACGTCCGCGACGATGCAAAGCGGTAGGCGGCCATCATCGAGCGCAATAACGGAGACTAGGCTCTCAAAGGCATGCTCGAGGGTCTCGGAGGCTTCGAAGAGGCGGATAATGAGATGGTAAGGGAGGGCATCCGTGTTCTCGGCATCCAGGGGGAGGCCATGGTCGGCGCTGGAGAAGGGGAGCTCGGCGACCTCGACGGCTCCGGAGGCCTTGGGATTGAGCATGGAGCGCAGCTTGGAGGCGTTGTGGGGGGTGTTGACGAGCGTGATTTTGAGGGGGTTACGCTCGGACAGGAGCTCAGCAATGGCGGAAAATGGGATGAGGTGCCCCTGTGCCATGAATGGCATCATCACCACACGCTCCCGCTCATCCACCACCATCTTTTTCCTCTCTCTCTCTCTCTCCTGAATGAAGAGAGAGAAAGTTGGGTCCAAAGTTAAAGAGAGAAAGAGAGAGAAGGCTTTTTGTTTATGCAGTGTGCAGGGGAGATGGGGTGTGTAGGGGCTGAAGCCAAGAGACTGTTGGTGTAGAGAGAGAAAGTGAGGCAGGAAGTCGATGTGTATTCGAGACAGCGGGGCGCTGCAGACTGGCGGAGAGAGAGAGGAATCGGTTTGAATGTCGGTAAACGTGGACCCATAGATCACCGTTGATTACATTGTCATTTTTGAAAAACTTTTGTCTTTAACAAATTTTTTGAAATTTTAAATTTTATTTTATAAAATTTTAAATTTCATAGAGTTAATAATGGATTTTCAATCTGGTTTCGAACAACAGAATTATATCTTTTGACAACATTTAAAGGTGCCTCTTACATGTACAGTATAAAGTGGGGACACTGTACAAACCTCACCTATGAAAGCTCAAGCACTAAGAGTTTAAGAATTGAGAATTATATCAATTTCTTTTTCTTTTTGTTTTTCTTTGTGAAAATATTCGCCCAACTCTAATGTGGTTCTAGAGGACCGAGAAAAAGATGAGAGTTGATGAGGATGGCTTAGTGATTAATCATTTTTTGAATGTGGCTTAGTGACTAATCACCTTTTAGATCACTCAATGCCTATTTGTGTTTTGTCAAAACATTGTACTCCTACAAGAGTAGAATGTTCATTTACTCTCCAAGTAAGATCCTACCTAGAATTAATTTTAGTACCTCGACATTTTGGGGATGGAACCTTTTCAACCTAGCCGACCCCAAATAGTTTGGACAAGGCTAGGATGACAATGATGAATCTCTTCAACCCATTGATTAACCTCAATAAAATAAAATCTAAATTATACCCCCTATTCACTTGAAAAAAATGATGTCACCATATTGAATAGAGATCATTTTTTTTAAAGAATAATATGCATACGCGCTCTTTGTGTATTTGGTGCATTTGAGTGTACCGTGGAGGTTAAGGCTCATTTATATGTCAATATATTTTGGTATTAACACTACATTGTACATTTTGCTATTGTACGGACATTTATTGATGAAAATTAACCATTAATTATGTCTAGAAAGGGAAAAGTTTATATAGAGGTTGTTTTGATGTCCAAATATCTTTAAATTGATCATCTCAATATCAAAATGTATGGGCATGAGATTTCAAGTTTTGAAAATAGTGTATTTTGTAACACATTTTTGGACCGTCAATTTTCAAGATTTTCAAGCTTTTCAAGATTTTCAAGCTTTCATAGATTTGCCGATCTACACTATTTTTTAAGTTTTAAGTTTTATAAATAAAAATAAAAATATATTTTAAGGCTATCACAAAGATTTTCAATATTGAAACTACATTTATCAATACTATTTATACTATTTGAAGGTAGGCTCTCATTTGATTGTTTAGAGCCTAGGCTCTATATAAACCGCATCCGTCAAAAAATAGTAAATGTGTTTGGGGCATTGGTGGTTAGTTGGGCGGAGGCCCCAACATAACCTTAATCTATTAATGGGGGCGGATGCCTCAACATAATATTAACATATTATCTTATTTTAAATTTTTTTTATAAATCATCATGATATGGACATTTGTTCATGCCTCTAAAAATTGGATGGTCCCTTTTCAATCTTAGGATATTATTTTTTCAAATACGGAGAATGAAATTTGAAAAGTGATTTTTTTTAAGATCCCAAAAATACTTGGAGATTGAGTTTTTTAAGATCCCAAAAATACTTGGATATTGAGTTTTTTAACATCCCAAAAATACTTGGAGATTGAGTTTTGCCCGAGATAGTAAAATGCATAATATACTCCCATGGGAACACAAACTCTTTTGGCAAGTTTAGAAGTAAATATGCACCTCAAAAATCTGTCCAGGTTGTTTTAATATTGAAAAACCTTGTAATTGATCATCCGATATCGATATTGTTGAATATGAAAAAAAAATTTATTTTGAGTCTTAAAAATAGTGGATCTTGCAATACATTATCTAGATCATCCATTTTCAAGATTTTCATATGCTTATAAATCTACTTAATTTGAACTATTTTTGGAGTTTCAAATTTTATAATTAGATATGAAAATACATTTTTAGATAATCTTAATAATTCATTACACCAAAATTACATGTTATGATAAAATTTAGAGGTGTGCCTTAATTGGATTGTTTAACGTTGCAACCTTATAGAAACCTTAAACACAGGGTGTGGTTTGCATAAGGTTGCAACCTTAAACAATCTAATTAAGACGTACCACTAAATTTTATCATAAATGTAATTTTGATATCAAAAATTTTCAAGATAGCTTGAGAATCTATTTTCCTTTCTAATTATAAAATTGTAATTTCTAAAAATTATTCAAATCAAGTAGGTCTATAAATACATGAAAATCTTGAAAATGGACGGCCCAGATAATGTGTTGCAAGATATACCATTTCGCAGACTCAAAATTTTTTTTTCTTTTCATATTCATACATTTTGATATTGAGATGATCGATCACAAAGTTTTCCTTCATCCAAACAACTTTTATGTTGAATTTTTTAGGTGCACCTTTAATTCTACATTTTAAGGTTGCAATCTGATATAAACTTTTTTCCTCGCACATAAGCTAACATTTAAACAAACAAACCAATTAGAAATTAACTACGAATGGTTGGTGCGTGTGATGTCACCTTTTGACCTATGATGTGGACAACACATGGTTAGGATAGTTGGCCCACCACGTCGTTGGAGGAAATCTTTAAGCTGGCATGGGCCCATTTAGCCGGCCCAACAATGATCAGGAAATAATTATTTGCTAATGAAACAAATTAGTTATGTATTATTATTAGGAAAGCTTTACATGAGAGATGACACCCTGCCGATGAATAAATTATAGGGTAAATTTCCATTCGTTGTTTTAGTGTAAAGAAAACGTATACAATAAAATCATTTATCTTTGGTACAAGATAGTCACAATTAATCTTAATCATTGGATATAAAATTAGATGGCTGCATTTATTCCATTGACGAAGCTCAAACTTCAAAAGAAATTTTATCGAACTTAATGATGCACTTAAGCTATTAAATTTCACATCATCACATAGTTGTAAGTAATTGTGACCAATAAATGGTCTCATTGTATACAATCCCTAGTGTAAAATGGTGATAAGGAGATGTAAAGAGTAAAGAATTGATTATGATTTTGTTCCCTTTTTCTACCCTACATATAAGATATTTGGGCACTCGGGAGATGAATGTGAAAGAACTCGAGGGAAAGAACAAGGGCAAAACGGCCATGGGGAACCACTTAATAGCTATTTTTTGAAGTGAAGGAGTTTACAGCCGAGTCACTTTTTAAGTAGACCACCAATAATGGAAAAGGTAGGGAGGTCTGCGTTGAGGCCTGAACTTGTTCTTCTTCTCGTGTTCGCTTGCTTCCTTTCCCTTGTAAAAGAAAGATATGGAAGGGAAAGTCGGCAAGCCAAATCTTTTCAAAGCCATCATGCATAGGCTCGAAAGCCAACAAGTACCGGCTAGTGTGAAAGTCGTTGTGCTAACGCGCATCTACTTTCTTGTTTGACTTCAGCTCAAAAGCCAACAAGCAACATCCGTTTCTTATTTCTTACTTGTCATTGCTGGCTCGAAAGCCTACGTGCGCGCTAGCTGAGATACAGACTGAGATGAGACTAGCTAGGCTAGCTAGCGCACACTACGTTTTTTTGTAGCCGGTGCAAGTGCGGATGAGACACAAACAGAGATACGGACTGCGATGAGACTAAGCGCTCCCCTTCGATGGATCGTGGCTCTAAACAAGCTGAATCTTCTATCACACTTGGGTCCCACGGTTCAGTGAATCTTGTCTTCTGGCCATCTTCCCTTTGTGCTTGGTTCTACGATTATCCCTCGGTCTCTCTCTTGGTCGATTGCTGCTTGTTCTATAGATGTTTCACTCGCACAGTCCCTTTGTTCCTATCCACTGAGCTTCCTCAATCTTGCTTTCAGCTGTCAATATAAGTAAATGGCTGGAAATGGAATGACTTGAGTTACAATATCACAAGAATTAGATCTTGATCCGATGGTTTCCATCTTTATTCAATTAATCTTTTCGCAGCAAAATTCGGGATACGGGTACATGATAGGGGCACAAATGATAAAAATAATAAAAAGATGTTTCCTTTGATTGAAATTACCAAATTACCCCTACAAATTTTAGGGTATTTTTGTCATTTATTTTTTTGAGATATATATATATATATTAATGGAAAATACTATGCAACGCCTATTGGCGAAAATGAACAGTGATTTCGCCTACCCCTATCATCGTCCAAAGTTCATCGTATGGTCACGATTATCCTGTAGTATTTTTTTTTTTTTTATTTCTACAAATCGGAATGATCTGAAATTTTGAACGTGTATTCATTAAAAATAATGGAATTTTTGAAATTATAAAAATAATATTTTACATAAAAACAATTAACCAAAATACCCCTAAGAAGTTTTGAGGGTATTTTGGTCAATAAGGGTATATATATCGCCCCAATAAGAAGATGGAATGGCTCAAATTTCACTAAAAAATATTTTCTAGAAAAAAATAAAAATCAAACAAAATTTGTCGTGACATTGTGATACGAGCAATCGTAGTCATCCTTTCATATCGAACACTGAGAAGTGGGGATACATGTAATTTATAGGTGGTTGGGGTCATACAGAAAGCTTTCTCTATACTATTTTTTGTATGATTAGTATTTTTTAATACTATAATACACTCCATAAATTCATCATTAGAATAAGATACTCCCTTTTTTCTTGTTTCACACAATCATGTACAGTTAAATATATACAAAAAAGAATAAGAAAAGAAAAGAAAGAAAAAAAAAACCCTTCACGCAATTTCCCATTCCTCCAATCTCTCTCGATATACGCCCTTATTAAATATTTTTATTCCTTTGCCTCTCCCCATCCTCCACTTTTTTACAGATTTAGGGCACATTTGGTAGGCGTGAAACCCATC